TTCAGAATAATTTTTGGCTTTTTTTCTGTGTCCAAGCAAGGAGGAGTCTGACAAAGCCCTTCCCTACATACAGCTTTCCTAGGTTAGATTGAATTTTCTTAACACTGAGTACCTTTTCAGTTACCCCCAGGCTTCCAAGACAACCAAAAAATGTGTGATGTGACACAGAACATAGAGATGACCCTCGCTTTTGTGAATCAACAGGTGGAACAGCCACAGGGTTTAGACATAGGCCATTAGTGTTTTCTATTTTAATTATGTATGATTCCACATGACAATGCACTTTGCTGTTTAGTTGAATAAGGTCTCATCATGTCTCCATATTTTACTTAACTTGGTGTGCTTTATTTACTGTATTCTCTTTACGTGTGGCTGTGGTGTTTTAGAAACAGTTTCCTAAAAACAGCAGGTAGAACCAGATGTGTGCATGTGCACGTGCATCTTTTATTTAAAGATTTCTTTTCAGGCACAACAACCTTCCTCAGGTATGAAACAAAGTTAGCAGACTTCAAAACTAAGCACAAAATGAAAGCAATTGCTCAGGTACATACAAAACCACCTCTGCAAGAAAATGTCATTAGCGTGTGCAGAGTTGATAAGGCAGTTACCTTGCTAAGGGAAAGAAAGGAAAAATAATTTCTAGTCTGTGGAACATGGAAAGATTACTGGAAGGGAAAGGACATTATAATAGGCCATGAAATCAATATCTCTGTTTAATCTCTGGTTTTTGGTGACTAGAAGTTCAAACTGTTGGTTCTAGGCTCTCCTTTGGAAGGCATTTTGGAGATCTTTAAAGATCAGGACTATGAGATCAAAGGTGGTATGGTTGTAAAAAGTGCTCTTTATATAAAATGGGGATGTTAAATCTGTGTCAAGAGTCTTTACACAGCTGAATCTCAGAAATATTTCATTCAGCACTTCTACTCCTTTGAGTGTGTTATGCTGTGTCCCAGAGGATGAACTTTTGAGATTGGAAAGGATCTTTTGGGTCAGATGTATGTTTGCTTTTGTCTGCGCTCTAGCAGATAGTGTAATGTATCTTGTTAAATGGGATTTACTCTGGCTAAGTCTATTGACATCTCCTTTTCATCTGCAAGATAGCTGTACCTAAGTGCTACTGCTGCTGTGTTCAAATCCTCAAGTCTACACAAAGTTTTTATTGACTGGTTTCTGAAATTCCATGTTGTTGCTAAAACTGAAGTCAATCTCCTTCACTGTGACAGTACAACACAAATGGGAAGTGGAGTCCTAGAGCACACACTGCTGCCCCAGACATCAGATCAGCCCTGGTGTGCTGTCCTCACTCTGGAAATAATATTTTTATTAGAATAAGGACTTTTCAACCCCCTGGACTGATGCTGCAGTTGCAGCCATGCAACCTGGCATTTTCTCATCCTGTGAGGTTCCCTGCTCTTTCTGCATCTCTTTCACTAATCTTGATTCCTTAGGCCTGGAGAAATGCCATTGTCAGGGAGATGCTCTGATTGCTCAGAGTTCCTCAGGTTGCTCACTAGTTTAGGTTGCTTGGAGCCCCATCCAACCTGGCCTTGAACACTTCCAGGGATGGGATTGTCCACATCTTCTCAGAGCAAAGAGCCTCACTCATCCTGTGCCAGAACCTCACCACCCTCACGGTAAAGAATCTCTTCCCCACCTGTCCTATCACAACCTGTCTCAGCAAAATGTCCCTCTCCAGCTCACTTGCAGGCCCCTTTAGGTAGTGGAAGATGCTATAAGGTTTCTCTGGATTCTTCCCTTCTCCAGGCTGAAAAACCCTGTCTCTGTCAGTCCTTGCAGGAGAGGTGCTGTACCCTCTGATCATCTCCATGACCCTCCTCTGAAGTCCCTCCAACAGGTACACTTCTTTCTTATGCTGGGAGCCCCAGACTTGGATGCAGCAGTCCAGATGGGCTCTCAGAGGAGTAGAGGGGATCCCTTGCCCTGCTGGCCACACTGCTTTGGATGCACCCCAGGGGACATTGGCTTTGCTGGGTCATGTTGAGCTTCTTGTCAAGCAGCACCTCCAGATTCTTCTCAGCAGGGCTGCCCTCAACCCATTCTCCTCCCAGCCTGTATCAGAGCTTGATGGGACCTTCTTGTTGCTTAGCTGAGTCCTGAGCTCTTCTCCCTTCCCGAAGCCAAATGGTTCCAGTGGCAGATCTGTTGTCACCACACCTTTCCTGGCTCCATACATGCAATGAATACTGAGGGAAACAGCCACAGCATCTGTGACACCAGAGAAATGATTTTGGTTTGTCATTACAATCAGGTGCCTGTTGTGAATGCAGGCAAACCCGATGGGAAAAGATGAGGATGTCTGACTCAATTCAGAAGGCTGAATTATTTTTTTATTATAACTATAATAAAATACATTAATATACTATATAAAAGGAGGATACTAAAAACTACAAACCTACTTGTTCTAAGTCTAAGACAACTCATGACCCTCTCTGAGAGCCCAGCCCCAGGTGGGTTGGATTGGCCATCAGCTCAAACAATCCTCACCAGAATCCAACCAAGCACTCACTCCAGGTAAACAATTCTCCAAACACATTCCACATGGGAAAAACAAGGAGCAGAAATAGAAATTGTTTTCTCTTTCTGGCTCTCTGTGCACCTCTATGAAAAATCCTGAGAGGGAGAGAAATGTGCTGCCACAGGTGCCAGTTAGTGGAAGATCTGGATTCACCAACACTCGTTCTGGAATTAGCTGTAAGGAATGTGGGATGAAAACTCATTTATTTCTTATTTCCATCTCCTTAAGAATCTTCCTGGTCTGTGCTAATATTCAAGAAGGTGTGCTCACCTTTAACACCTTCTCTTCAACACTGTGGGGTGTTCCAGAGGGGTGCATGGAGCTCCAAGGGCTGATCTCTCCCTGCAATTCTGTCACTGCCATGTGGGACAGGTATTTTACTGAGACAACAGCCCAGGGGCTGTGGCAGGCTGTTTCTCCAAGCAGTGGTGAAATGAAGCTACTGAAGTAATTAAGAAGTTGTTTTAGCTCTCTGGTGATCCCTAGAGAATCTATTGCCATTTTCACATTAAATAAAGCACAGTTAGATCTGACATATTGTCTTTCTTCAGAATTCCTACCTAAGATGATGACAGGGAACAAATTAATCCCAGTTTGATCCAGTTTAATTAAACCATCTCAAAGGTATTGCATTAGCTTGGATGTTCTGATCTTGTTATTATTTTTATTTATTGCAGCAATATACAATTCTTAGTCTGCCTTTTGCTAGAAATACAGTAATTTAGTTAAACCTTATATTCATAAATAAGAGTCTGGGATACATTAATTGAATAGTATTATTGAGCATAAATAGTGTAACATAAACTGGTAGAGATACTTCCAATATAGTTTTGCAAATATTTTCAATCAGACTCTTACTGTTCTCTTCCTTGGGAAACCATGATTGTGATAAAAATGTCACATCTGAAGCATTTCTTGTTCCTTTTTTCCAGATTTTTTGAGCATACTTGATTATTCTTTCATTACTGCATAACTACTGTTATTACCTGTTCTTTAATGAGTTAGATTGAAAGTACAAAATTATTTTATTGAAATATTTTATTACAGTTTTGCAAAGATGGAAACCTTAATAATAAGCTAATCACTTTGGCACACTTATGCAGGTTAATAATTCAACAGTGCATTAGTTATGCCCATGTTAAAATAATTCCTTTTATTTAGCAGAAAAGGCCTACTCTGGCCAACTTGGTAGCTTTATATTTATTCACATGGTTATTATAAAGGCTGTTGTTATTATTGTGCCTGAAGAGGTTATTACAGTGCTTTGAGTGCTTTGAAATCAATACTGCATATTTACTTTGATAAAACTCAATTGGTTTTATTTCCATTCTATGGACAGAAAAGTGGAAAAATGTCAAACCAGTAATTCTAAGGTGGCCCAGCTTCTGTCCACAGGTTTTTACCAATCTTGATCTGTGACTTTGGGCCAGATGCTACAGGATAGAGAGGTTGAAACAGCTTTTTGTTTTGTTTAATCCTACTGATGTGCTGGGCAATGCACAGCAAGAATGCTCCCTGTGACTAAGTTACTCACTGTTGGAGCCAGGGGTGGGACTCAGTCATCTCTGAAGCCACTGGTTCCTTTAGCACGCTAAAAAAGGTGCAGGGAGCAAAGCTGAACACCAAGGGTTATCCCTGTACCTCAGTTCTGCACAGGTAGAGAAGCATTTTCCTTTATCCTCTTGTAGAGTTTTCCCAGGGAAAACTGCTGGAGCTCTGTAGTCTGCTCCCTCAGAGCAACCAACACAAGAGCTATGACTGAAATTCATTCCAGTTCGATTTGTTATTTAAACCACTGTATTTCACAACTAAATTTTGGTTGCAAAAAAAAAAAAGGTAAGGCTGAATTAATAAATCAAGTCCAAATATATTGTTTTACTAGAAACCAAGTATTCTGCTCCGTAGCAAAATTCTATAGTTAATATTATTTATCCTATTTTTGATAATATTATTTGACCTCAGCCACTAAACTGAAAAATCTGATTTCTAAACACAAAATTGAAAATCCTAACATTTGATTCAAAACAATAATTTTTAAATGAACATTTTTATTTAAGATGGGGGTTTTTTTTGCTCCCAGTTATCTTGTTTCAAAAATATTCCTTGGAATTTAGTTACTCTCAGGCAATGTTTTGGTTTGCTTAAAAGTGCATGTTTCAGAAGCCTTTATTTAGCAGAAGAGCTTCACTCAGCTCAAATTATTTGAGTTATCTTTTTCTTTGGCCCAGTCTGAATCCAGTAAGTGAATTATTTTGCCTCTTTTGGTACCAATGATGTAAAAAGTGAAAGAAACAATAGATACCTCTGTGGTGGGAGGGCAGTGGCTGATTTCTGCAGCCAGTGTACCACCTTCTGCTGAAGCTGTCATCTGCAGGCAAGTGATTTCTAAATCCATCTGTGCTATCTGTTTCAAGCTGTTCAGTAGCTTCTTCACATTCCTGTGCTGTCTTGTTTTTGGTTTTTGTTTTTTTTTTTTTTTTTTTTTTTATGGTACTGCCACAGTTACCTAACAAACCCTCTCTGCCTGCACAAAATCAGAGGATGCTTAAGTTTCAGATGTTGCTTCTGACTTGCATATTTTCTCATGGCTTTCAATTTTCTTTTCTGAATTTGACAGGTTTTCAGCTCCAGTAGGAGGTAAGTATTCACTGAGGGCATTATAGCTCTATCTTCATTTTTCTGCACTTTCTTACTTCTCATCCTCTGTTCTGATTTTCTGTTTCAAAAATCGAGTCACCTTTGCAATTTCTTTGTAATGTATTCTGTGCAACCCTTGTTTTCCAGCATTTTTCAGGAATTCATGTTGCCTTCTTAATTGACCTGTCATTTATGGACTGTATCTGTAATTCTTGATACTTGGTAACAACTCAGAATTCTGATGAACAAAGCAGAAAATGTAAAATCTGCAATACTTTGGAGACAATGAGCTGTCTGCAGGAAGGATGCAAATATTATTATTCAGACTGGCTACTGTCCTTACTCATCAACCATGCACACAAAACTATGTATTTTGAGTGTGAGTTTGATTTGGTCAGCTCAATCCATTACACCAATGCTAGAGTTAAATTAATCTTTTGACATAGACAACTGCAATTTGAGATAAACTGAAACTGTGTTACTGAAAGGCAAAATACTAGTATAAAATCTGGCTTGCCTCATTGCTGAATTAGTTTTATAAATATGTATTTTTACAAAATTGAGACAATGGTTTTGAAGATCTTAGTTCTTCTTTGCTCTATGAAGTTGTAATCCAAGCTTATCTCTCTTTTCCTTCCTTTTTCTTATGCAGAAGTTTTATAAGCAGATCATTCTAAGTGGCTGGACTTTAAAACCAGATCTGTAGGTGGGAGTAATTGCTTCTCAGGAGCTGAGATGATTTACTAAAACATGTGTGGTTTAGTTTGCTTTTTTACTGTGTGTGTTCTTGACATGAGCCATTTCTGTTTGGTACACAACTGTGATAAATCTTCTGCCAAACTTTCTATCTTAATGTTGCCTATAGCATCCATAGTTATAGTATTCCTTGTCTGATTGAAGTTCTCAAGGGTAAATAGGGCTGAAAGAGTTAACATATTAGGTTACAGGCCCAGTTATATTACTAAAAGCAAAAATAGATGAAGAATCAACACTTCCCTGACATTTCTTCTCCTTAGTCACTGCACATGATTTGTTAATAATACCAAGCCTTGCTAGATCAATCTCTACCAGAATTCTCATTATTTGTCCTTTTTTCTGCCCTCAAAAAGAATATGGTAATATCTGTGCAAAGAACAGCCTGTGGAAGGTTATGGGAGGCACAGTTAGATCTCCCTTGGAAGCTCTCAAGAAAGGGTTTTCTTGCTACTGTTCAGATATTCCCATTTAAAATATGATCACAATGCTACAAGGAGTGTCTTGCTGTTAAACAAAACCCCAGGAACTGTCCTTAAGCCAGATCAAGTCCAGATGGATGAGTCTTTTTTACAAAGTTCAGAATAGCAGGCATAATTTAAAATACTGACAAAAGATGAATATGTAGTAAAAAGGAAGCTGTTCTGTTAATCTGTTAACCAAAAAGAAAACATCCTCTTCTCTATTAGCCAACCTGCTCACACTGGGAGATTTTTGGCTCAAGCTCTCAGGAAGGCATTATTTCCCTGTGTACTCATGAGTCTCACTAGATGCAGAATGTTCCAAGTCAATTCCATTAGACTTTGAACAAATTTCCTTGGAGTCTCTATGTATATTCAAATCTTGGTTTCCACTTATATTCAGATCTGCCTCTCCTTCCCTTCCCCATTAAATCTACACTAATACAATAAAGAAAGAATGCAGCCCTTTTTCCAGGAAACAATTACTGAACATTTACCCCCTTTAAAAAGACTAAAGCAACTTCTGGTGCTATCTTCTCAACATAACTGCCTCTATTAAACTTATTAAGAGCAAAATACCTTTCCCTGGCTCCCCAGCTCTCACAGCCTCCCAGCAAGCACATTTCACTGTGAAATGCCTCAGTCATTTTATTATCAAATACTAAATGGACAGATACACTCCAGCCAAATTATACCCATTAAATGAGCACATGGTTGTTGATTTAGAGCAGATACTCTTAATCAGCTTCTTTGGAACGATACTCATTGGGTTTCAGACAGGCAGTCTTACAGCTGAGGGAAGTCATAGCCGAGGTTTTGGGGTAGGAAGAGTTATAGTGCCAAAAGACAGCTATTGGGAGAACTTTGGTGTACTTAAATTGCTCTGTCTTCCCTTAATTTGGAGATTGATCAACATACAGAATTGGATCATAGCAGCAAACAATTTATATTTATGCATTGCAGAGGTTCTAAGTGCAACACCCCGTTTGATGGTTGAGGCAGAAATGCCTGTGACTTTAGCTCCCCTTCACCCCACAGAAGTGAAATATTAATTCACAGAACAAAAAAGGATCATTCCAGCAAGTCATACTCTTCAAAAGGTCAACAAAATTAAATAAGTCTCATCTTCATGGTAAACCCTGAAAGATTTCCAGGTTCTCCTGTCTGTGAATTGAAATCTTGCTTCTGTCTTTGACTCTGTATTTGTAGACAAATGCTTCTAACAGATTATTTCACTGTAATTCCTAAATCAAAACAAACTGGGAAATCCACTGCTGTTTGTGTCAATATCTAACACTACACAGCATGTGTGAGTGCACAACATTACTTTGCATGCTGGCACGAGCAATGGATCAGACTACAAAACAATTACCTTTACTCTAAAATTGTGCCTTCTGTTACAGTGTCTTCAGTTTTAATGAAGATCAACTGTGATAAAGCTACACGGAGTAATGGAAGTACCAGAGTGAAATTGCTTTTTGAAAACAAAAAGCTATTTAAAAAGTCACAAAAGGACTGGGGGAGCCATGAGTGAATTTTCTACTCTAACATTTTGGCACTGCTCTGTGGAACCTTGTGCTATCAGCAAGGAATGAAAAATTGCAGTTGACATCTACACCTGGCATTTGTCTCCATTAACGATTAATGTAGGGACTCTGTTCTCTTGGCTTAGTCCCCACCTGTCAGGTACTCTTTAGGAGAAAAGAGAGCAGGGAAAAACCAAATAGATTTAGGCTTCCTTATTTTGAACCAGATTTTCCAGTGAAATCTATAAGCAAGTGTTACACTCACATTCTCAAGGAAACAATTTCATTGTGGCCCTGCCTGTCTCCTCTCCTTCAGAGCTGCTGTTTCACTCACTCATCTCCTGTGGGAATTTTCTGCCTGTCTTTTCATATCAGGAGCAATAAATCAAAGTTTTACTTGGCCCATCATTCAAAGATGATGGAAAGCATAGCTGTGTTTTGATAGAGAGAACCCACTTCTGTGTCTCTGATACAGGAGGTAAAAAAACCACTGCTGGAAGACAGAGCCTGAGGAGCCCTTCTATCTGCTGTGGGAACAGCAGCTCCTTGATGGAGATTCTGTAAAGCAGGAAAGCTGGAAGATGGTTCCTCTGCATGCCTCAAAGGAACATCCCACAAACTGCCAGGAGTTATCCTGGCATGGCTGTCCATGGTTCCAGATTCCCCATCTCCTCCTAACTCAGAGGATAATGTCCAAGAGCTTTGTGCTGAAAGCTGGCTGGTTTTTTTCTTGCATTGAGCAGGCATGGCTGCAACTTAAGAAGGCAAAGCAGAAGTATTACACCCCTAGCTTTTAAACACATTGACTTTAGAGGTTATCCTTATCTTTCTGGCATGTTAGGTGCACAGATTTGATGTCTTCTTGTTGTAGCCCCCAAGAGCACTCCTCAGCTCCTAGGATTGGAGGCACACTACAGCAGTAACCCAGCCCTGTAGTATTTTTGGGCAATTATCCCCACAATGTGAATCTGGGCCAAATTTTTCCAAGGGTGCTGGGGCATGCTATGGTTCTCTTCCATGGCTGAGTTATAATAGTCCCATGAAAGGTGATAGTTTGCTGTTTCACCATGGTCATTAGAAATATCTTTGAAAGACAGCACAGAATGCAATAAAAGAAATAACAAGACTTAAGTCAGGGCCAAGGCTGCTGCTGAATAGGAAACCTTGTGTTGTTATAGCAACAGATGAAGGAGACTTTTTTAACAAATTCATGTACTTGAACCCTTAAAAATACAAGAGTTGGATAGTGGGTGCTGCTGCCTATTTGTTCCCAACAAACCTCTCCTGTGGAAAAGCAGGTTGGGTTAGCATTCAGGCAATGCAGTCAGAACCACACACAGAACTCACCACAGCCGGCTCAGCGAGAGAGGCAGAAAGCTCCTTCTGCAGGATTTTATTTCAGCACCACATGTGGTGGCTGAAGGGAACCCAGGCACGAAAAAGGGCAACCAGCTGCTGCAGACAGCTTAAAAAGGTGTCTTAAAAAGGTGAGGGAGAGAGCCAAGGGCAGGGCAAAGGGGACTGGTCTTGAGGGGAGAGGGCACAGCCACTAGGGGTATCCAGCCCTGAGGGAACAGGGAAAGGAGAAACCACGGTAGCTTGTGAAATACAGGGAGACAGAAGTCAATGGGGTGCCTTGTCTTTTCTCCCAGGAGGAATGAAATCCGTGGTAGGTCTTTCCAGGGCAATGCACTCGGGAATTGGCTGAGGAGAGTGAGTTCATGGGATGCTACAAACCTTAGAAACCTAACATAGCTGTAACTGTGAGAAAGTCTAAATGGCATTTCTTATGTGTGTTTGCTGTCCTTGCACTTCAGGCTGACCAAAGCTGAGTGTCTGCATTGCTGCCATCAAAAGCTCAAGCTTTCAAGACTCAGGGATCCACACCTTGGATATATCAGCCCAGCCCGTCATCTGCTGGTTTTTGGAATTCTGTCATTTGCACTGGAGTCAGCCTGGACCAGGCTTCCATCTGCCCATGAAGTAATGTGCAGTCACAGCCCAGCTGAGTTTGCCTCGTTTTGTTGTCAGCAGCAGCATTCTGAAGATCACAGAGATTTAAAGCGGAGTGGCAGCTGCTGTGCCATCTCTCACCTGGCACAGGGCATGTCTAATCCACTCACTAATAACCAAATGTCAGCTGCATGAGCCTAGATTTGAACAAGCATTCCTGTCCCTTGCAATGCTAAAATAGTAGCTACTACAAGAGTAGGAGTTTTCCTCACACACAAAAGTAGGAGAAGGGATTAGAGACAGCCACAAACAAGGCATAGATGAATATATGTTCCACCAGGAGCCCACCAGATATTTGACCTCAGGTTCACATTTCTGTAAACATGTATCTTGGCAATGTATCATTCAGTTCCTCAATATGATGCAATAAAAGCCATTTCTCATTCATCTCGGCTGTCTTGTTGTGTTATGTTACAAATGATTACTGTTAATTCTGTGTTTAATTGTGCTTAGCATAATTTATTTGCTATCCAGTGATTTTAACTGTTAGACATAGCAAAATATGGTTGTCTTCTCTTCTGCCTCCTTCTGCTTCTCATTTGTGGATGCTGAAAGCAGCTGGACCTGTTCCATGTGAATGGAAATAATTATGGGCATGTACAACAAATTCATTAATCTCAAGAAGGTATCTCATGTGCTATGCTTGGAGTACTCTTCATGAATTGTCTTCATCTTTCCTGTCCTTCCAAACTTCCTTTCTTTTAGTTTTCTATCACAAACCTGTTGAACCATTGAGGAATCAGCTGATGACCCTGCAGATAGGATCTGATTGACATTTTGGGTAGTTAAATCATTACTAATGCTTTTACCTTTACACGGTGGTTTCCCTCCCTGGGAAGCATTTTTCACAGTAAAAGATTTCCATCTATATCATATTTGGAAGAGAACTGATTTGCATAGTGTTCCCCTTTTCTGCATCTTGGGCAACGATTTGGTGCTGCTGCATTTTCTGTGGAGTTGCCCTGTTGAAAATTTGAAAAAAGCGCTGTGAGAGTTTTTGAGAATCCTTCACGCTGCTCTTGAAAAAAATTTCCCAACCTGTTCCATCCAAACATCTGCTTGAATTGCTGTGATGTGCTGAGGTGTGCCCACCTTGCTGCGTGCCTCTATCATCTCAGTCAGGGTTGGTTGACCAGGCATGTGGCCCTCCTGCATATCTGTTTCTCAGCTGAGTGAGAGCCCTCCACCATCTCGCATCTGATTTTACGCCTGTAAAAATTGTCAAGGCAATGTATCTACAGTCTAAAGACACCAAGTCGTAATTGCTGAAGATGCCTCTCAAAAGCTGTTTGAAATATAGTGAACCAAGTCCTTCTTTCCTTGCAGCTTCTAATAAGTTTTTCAAGACCTGATGATCCAAAAGTTCCCATGTGGGGTTTTCATTTCTTCTTCCATACCTCGCTGGCGTTGCAGTGCTGTCTGTATCTAGTACAACATAATCTCTGCCTTGCAATGCTGTCCTTCTTTGTTTGCCCAATTAATTGATGAGGCATCTCTTGGGATTTTTCTGGGAATGGGAACCAAATCCATACCTGTATCCAGTGGGCTTGTAATTAATCTGGATGTACCTTCTTCTAGCCCAAAGGGTTCATTCATCCCAGGTACCCCTCCCCTTTCTGTTTGGATTTTATGATCCAGAAGGTCCACATGAGGTCTATAAAAGCAAAAAAAACCCAAACCATAATCTGCTATTTGCATATGCAGATTGATCTTCCTATCTTCTGTTTCCCAGAGGATATTTCTTGTATTTTCACTATAAATATTTCTTATATTATCACTATAATTAGGACTGGTCAGAATCATCTCAGTTTTTAAATTATTATAATTATTATATATTGATGATTAGAATTGTTTTTAAAACCTCTTTTTTTGTTGTTGTTGTTTTTAAAACCTCTTTTGTTTTGGGGTTTTTTGTTTGCTTGTTTGTTTTTGTTTTTGGTTTGGTTTGGGTTGGGTTTTTTTTGTTTTTTTGTGAAATATTCCAGTAGTATTGCTATCAATAATTATCAGCCCATCATGGAATTTTCACTTGAAAGAGAGACAGTCAAAATATTAAATGTAGCCTGGAAAATCAGCAGAATTGAAGTGTGGAGGAGAGGGGCCTTGCACTGTATGCTATGTATTGCTAGTGGTCAGCCCAGGTACCTGCATGCAGACTAGTTTTAGGTGTGTGTACACATTATCTCTATTCCTCTTAGTGGCCCCTATCAAACTGAAAAGCTGTACAAAGTTTTAGGCTCATATGAATTAAAAATTCTCCCCAGCTTACAAACATTTGAGGATGTAAAAATTCTCTTTTGTTAGCAAATTTCAGCTGCTCTTTCGTCATATTCCTACCACTGCTTACATGTCAGTGGAAAATTATTTTGATTTGAAAAACTTGTTTAGAAATTGAGGAGTTTTTCTGGTGTCACAGTTCCAAAATTGGGGTATATTAAAGAACTGTGTCAAAACCACATGGATGAAATTTCATAGTTGTGTTCTCAACATTTTGGATTATTCTGATATCTTTTGTGAGTAAAGCTCACTAGAAGGTCATAAATAAATTTCATAGATACATTTGAGTTCTTCATTTAGTATTCTTTTTTTTTTCAGCTTAATCCAAAGAAGAGATTTGATTCACAGAGAAGAGAGTTTTGTTAATTAATGTGGGCATTAATTTCTAGATTAAATCTGAGGATGGCAAACTTTGTGTGTGTGAATAGATTCACAGTAGGAACTGGGGTAATAGACTATTCTGTAAATGGTCCCTGGTTAAGTATAATTTTCTTTAAAATGTCCCTTTTTCTCCATAACTGGTGTCTTTGGATAGGTAATATTTTGCAAGCAAGAAAAAAAAATCAGCTGTTTCAGTAGGGACACACATTAATTTAATTGCTGTTATTGCATATTTCCATATCAGCAAAGTACAATCTGCATTATTTTTCTAGTGTCATAATATTCTTTACAGTTCAATAGCACTCTTCAAAGTGAAAATCTCAGCTGTTTTCTGTCAGTCTCCCACCTAGGAGAAAGATTTAAAATCAGTTGTATCAGCAGCTTGTTATTGCTGGCATTGAGATTATATTTTCTTCCCCCTCCCTAAGTATCCTAATGTCTTTTTCTGTTCCCTGCCACAGCTCCACTCATGAACCAGCCATGCAAAATTAAAGATTCAAGGCTTTCTTGCAACAGGAGTGTCCTAGAAGAAGATTGGGTGTCCAAACAGCTATGTGTTAGCAACAAAAAATATTCCATTCTGATTATGGAAATCTTTGCACAAATTTGGTTATGGCAGGATTTTGCACTAACTGACACGGAATGAAAAAGTTATATGGGGATAAAAAAAGAGTAAGTAATTGTTGATGTAAATGTAGCAGATTTTGTTCAATTTCTTCACTGACTTCAGGACTTGAGAGCATAGAACTTCATACTGTCCTAATTAGGATGCCAGGGGAAAGCAATTATTTAGATCTCTGTTTAGTATTCTGCAGAAGTGGTAAGTCCTACAAGAGTGTCAGTTAGATCCATGGACCTCTCCAGGGAAGGAGGAGAGCTAGGGAAGCATGATGATTATTTAATGCATACAAATGTTGGATAAGAATAGTTATATCTAATGAAAATGCTGTGGGGGTGATAGCCACTTTTCATTTGTCTCCAGCTGCAGATGATATGTCCTGTATTTTTCCTCTTTGTGCACATCTTCTTTAGAGTTGTAAATGTACAGTTAATGCAGCATAAAAATGTGCACTATCCATGTTATTGAAAGTTATCATGGCACTAACTTTCAAAAATGAGTAGCAACTTGAAGATGTATAAAAGGCTTTCCTGTGAGGAACTCCATCATACAACGCATTGAAATTTATTTCAATATTATTTTATTAGAGCTTTTTAATTATTATGGAGAGATAAGCATGTCTGTCCATTATCTTTGCAGAACATTTGTGTTAATCATGTCACTCAATTTCCAATGATTGCCACAGAATATTCTGTCCCTTTTAGAAGCTTAGTTTAAACTTATATGCAGAAGACAATCTTCTACAGGGCCCACTTTCTTCCACTGGGCTCCCAAGTCACAGCTGTTTTGCTCAGCTGGCTGACAGACCTTCCTTCAGCAATACAGCCAAAGGAAACAGAAAAAAATCCAAAAATCCCTCCTGGAGCACATCTGTAATAGCAAATTCTGAATGCTCGCATGGCAGACAGAACATTAGTCATCTTTCCTTGTTTTAAGATAATCCTGCTGTTTATAAAATGTGAGACAAGATCGTTTTGTAATGCAAAACTGTACTTTCAATTATTTAAAGGTACTTTTGTGGGTTAGGTTTTTTGGGTTTATTTTAAGATCCATGACATGAAGCCAAGCAATTTATTTCAAAGCATAACTTTGCTTCTAAGTGGGATATTTGTAGCTGTGATAAGGGATGAAAGAAGAAGATATATTCTAGTTTACCCATCAACCCCAAAAAAATTAAGCATCAAGTTCTAACACTGAATTTGAAGTAGCGACAGTTCCTTGTAATGCTACAGAATTCACCAAAACCTTACGTGTAATGTTCCTGGTTTGGAGTGATATCCAGATTTATATATTTCAAGCAGGAGTTGTATTTTTAGTGGATAAGCTAAGCAAATAATTATTTATGGATATCATTTATGCTACACTGTTCTGAGTTTTATCTCTGGGAGAGCCCGTCTCTGTATTCAGAACACACATAATGAAACAATGAAGAAATTCAGGATTTGCTGTAGCACCACAAGAAATACCCATTTCAGCTCGTAATGAGATTTTTAAAGCACTGTTGAGAAAATTTCAAATATCTGTATTGGCTGAAAACAAGTTTTTATCCTTGAATTATCTTGACTTCATTTAATTCAGGACAGTTCAGTGTTTGTATTATACCTCCACAGCTCTCAGAGTCTTACATTTTTCTATGTAAGATCCATTGCACTCCCTCTTCTTTGCAGGTCAAGGCAATATTGTTCCTTAAATTGCATTTTTCTGGCATTTGCCTGGCCTTGATAAAGCTTTGTTAGGCTGATTTTAAAAAAGGACAGCTACAGGAAATGAGCCACACAGAATGAAGATGAGAAGGCTTCCAATTTTGGAAGCTGATAAAATTGGGTTGTGGTATTCATGCCAAAGTGTGGCAGGAGTGTCTTAAAAAGTGCATTGGGGATGACTCCTGCTGATAAGTGCAGAATTGCAAGTAAGGATGTCCACTTGTGGCTTCAGGGCATGAAAACACAAGTATTTTATGAAAATCAAGTTTATGACCTTAAGGTTCTGCAGCTGTGTACTGTGAACCTTTTAGGATGCTGGTACAAAAGTGAGAGAATACTAAATTGAACCCTTAGATGCATCTGTTCAGGTTTTTTCTCTTGAACTCTGAGTCTTAGATACTATTCATACAGTTGAAAAAAAAAAAGTAAGATATTGTTCTCCTAATTTTAAAAGTAAAACAGATTTTTGGGTATTATATGGAATTTTTGTCTGCTGACTAAAGGGAAGTGCTTCATCTGAAGGAAAAGTTAGGAATTGCACACCCAGGAGTAGAATGGTGCAAAATTTAATTTATGCAACTGTAGATACCTTTATTTTCTAATTCTAGTGAAATTATTAACAAAATATTTAAAATGAAGATAATTTAGAATTTATCAGAAATAACTAATATGATATGTGTTCCGCTCAAATATCTGTTTTTACAGCTTTTTCTGGCTGCAGTCTGTGGTCTTACAAATAAATTGCAGTTCAATGTGAAAATGGCACAGCTGTTAAAATAAAGAGGTAACAAATGTAAGAGTTTATGTAAGTGAAATTAGATGGTTTACCATGATATATGACCCGAACAGATCGGATAGTCGCTGGTAAGACTGTCTTTACCTAAAATTCTCTTCTTTCAGTATGTTTTTATAATTATCATTATCATCATAATTTTAAATTTTATGAGCTAGTTTTGAAATATTAGCCATATTCTCCATACTGCCCTCAAATTTTTAAAGCCACAGCTCCTTCACTGAAATGTTAACTATTGTCATCTTTCATATGAGCCTTTTATTTTACAGTCTCATCCTCTCTTTAAAAATTTTTCTCCTAGATTTATACATCCTCTGTCTTCCTCTTTGTAAATCAAATGCCCCTGTAGATCTTCATGGTCAACTTTTAGTTCTTTGATAAGCACTAGGAATGGGAAAAACACCTAAAATACTATTTGAAATCACCCCTTATGGCATGTTGTCGGAATCTGGGGTATTGATGATTCCCAGATTGTAGAAAGTCTCTGTCTTTCAGCCCCACTGCCAAAGCAGAAGCCATAATTGGTCTGTGCTGTTTCAAGGTTGTTTATTCTGTTTATCTCTAACATGTTCTGCTGCCCTGCTGCAGCTCTGTCCTGCAGGGCAGCGTGTGGGGCTCTGCCCTCAGTGGGATGGTACAAACATTAAATACCAGAAACTACCTGTGCTGGATTTACAATAACGTGCCAATATCTGTCACCTACGTTGGACAGTGTGTCCCCAGCCTGAACCAACAGAAAAATGCCAACAGCACAGTGAAACATGGAGGGCATGAAGAAGGAGAAAAAGGACAAGACACACCCAATTTCCTCCATCTTGTCCCCTTTGGACCCCTAATCTAGAATCCTAAAATTTTACTTTTGCACCCGTGCCACACTTAATTATTACTTATATCAAACACTCAGAGCTTGTAATTGATCCTGTAAGATTGAAAACTCTTTTCCATGGACAGAGATCACAGACAGTGTCCCTGGGGGCTTTGTCCAGGGGGGTTCCTGACCCCTGCCAGGGTCCCAGACCTGCCAGGGCAGCCAGAGGGAAGCCCTGGATTCCCACATCATGTGAGGTAGTGCTTCTCAAAATGAGCAGGGCTGTTCATGGTGGAGAGAGAGTTCCAGTCTCTCTGCAAAACCCCAAGGAATGCTCTCCAGAGCTGAAATCCTGAAGCAGTTACAGACAGTGAGTTCCTGAGGTAGCTGTCCTCATGCTTACACATGTCCTCATGCTTACACACAGCTTATGTCAAGTAGTGTCACTTACTTTGAGTTCCTGTCAGCTGGAGAGTCCTGGATGCACGTTTGCCGAGTTCCTTTGTTTTGCCTTTTTTCTTGACAGAGGGATTGGCTCCTGAGTGTTCTCAGCAATCACACCAGTCTGTTAGCACAGCACAACATTCCATATGGCCACACATTTCTCCTCACTGTTTACAACAGGGTGCCACAAATTTGTTGGTTGATGTGCTCATCCACCTCCTCTGAACCACTGAGAAGAGAAGCCCTTTCTAAGACAGGATGGGCGGGAGATACAGCTCCATGATGTGCAGCTTCTGGGAAATGGGTTGGAGTAGGGGTTAAGGGTGAAATGAGAACTTGAAATAGAGATATTGTCACAAATCCAAACCTCAGCACTGTATGGGCTGCTAGGAAGGAAATTAACTCCATCACATCTAGACACAGTACACACACCAGGAATGTTCAGTTCACAAAGAAAATAAATACCTTATTCCCCAGACCTTGAGGCTATCTGCAGCCAGCTCTACAAACATCCCTGTGACATCCCAAACCAACTCGTCAGTTTTCTCCAGCATGTAGGGTTGGACATTTTCTACAGGAAAAATTCTGCCCTAATTGGTGACACCTGTTCAAACTCATTTTCCATGGGGTTTGGGTGGGACTGATTTCCTCCTGATGTTCACTTAGGTCATGAATGAGCAAACAGCAACAGCATCTTTCCTTCTGTAGTGTGGTCTCAGTTAATTGGCAAGCTAGGAAAAAAATAGGGAGAAATTTCTAGTCATGGCAGTCTGCTACTATGATGGTTAACAGTGTATGGATCTGTACAGTAAAAAGAAAGATCTTAAAGCAGCTCTTCAGAGAGGCAATCTACTTGGAATGTTTTTTTCTCTCTCTACAAAGGATGCCTTACGTGAAGAAGCACAAAAATACTAAACACATGTAAGCCTGTGAACTGGACTTTGCTGGCTGCAGTTAGACATATAAGTCAGATTTGAAAACAAACCATTTTAAAAATTAATCCTGTGCAGAAGATTAAAAAAAAAAAAAAAAAAAAAAAAAGAGTGACCACTAGACCACTATCAGAACAAATAATTTGCCTATTGCTTATATATCTGAACACCTGCTATATCCTGTGAGTTTCCTGGGTTTCCATCAGGCCTGCCTTCCATGTGGGCTTTCTCTCCAATAGAATTCAATGTAAGGGACCAGAAACAGGGGCTATTTAACATGAGTGCTGCTGGCTGTGTGTAGAAGGGTGCTCTGTGTGTTTTCTTCCCCATTATTTGAGACAGAGCAAGCACTAGCTCCTGGAGCTCTTCCTTCTACTATTACAACTCATTTTAATAAAAGAACATCCTTGAACAGAAGAGAGAACAGGGTTGTGAAAACCACGTTTTTTGCAGTGACTTACAATGAGATTTTTTTCCTTCTTGTTTTGATTTTTGAAGTTATCAATACAGCACCAGTAGCTTCATTACATCTCAATTCCAAGCTGCTGTCAATTCCACTGTTTCCTCTAACTCTTGGGGTGATGTTTGTACAGGGCAGGATGAAGATGTTCCTCATATGGTTAATTCTATTCTTACATGCTTCAGTGTGTCCACTGCAGGGGAATCAGGCAAGGCTGGAGGGACTGCAAACCAAAACCAAGCGCTGACTGATCTCTGCTGCCTCTTTTCTGCTTTTGTCTCATGCTCTACAAGTATTCAGCTGTGTCTCAGCATCTCCTTAACTTCTCCAAGCCCAAAGGTAAGCCTGCATCAAGCATAGTTTCTTTACTTTCTTCACCTGTGACACAGGTCTGTCTAAACACACACTGCTGAAGTCATATCCCTGATATGTTATGGTTAAATTTGTTTTTTTTTTTCAATATGCAGGGTGGGCCTTCCAACTGTAGAGCCTAAAGTTTGAATGCAAAATGTTTGCATGGAATTTGAGTGATCTTAAAAGCTCTTACTGGTCTTAATTGATCCTATTATTCTTAAATTATTTATTCCGTATTTAGCAACCCTAAGCAGATCTGGCATGGCTCAAATCATTCTACCTGGGCCTTGTGTTCCACTTGAAAAAATTACCAATAATAGATGTGCAGAGGAAAGTCTAGGGGAAAAAATGTAAGGGCTGGATGGGGGTTCAAAGGTGACTGGACTTTTCAGAAGAAGCAAAATACTGTGATTACAGTCTGGAAAGAGAATAGTTTGAGGTTAGTTCTCTGTGTGTTCCTCTGATGGTGCTTGAGACTATCTTTGTTTGAGGAGGCGTGAAGAACAATTGCAGTTTCTCTGGGATGGAAATACGGTTTATTGAGGGCATTACATGTCAGAAGTTTCTATTGTAACAGCACCAATATAGGGTGGGGTGAGGAGGTTCTTTGACTTTGGTGGGGGTTTTGCTTTCCTTTGATCCCTGCAAAACAGTATGGGCTGATTTATTTGTCCAAACTGATATTTGTGATATTCTATTTATCTACAGAAAAAGTGCAGCTGAAGCTGGCACAGGCATAAAATAAGTGTTACTATTTTAAGCACCTGTCCATCAAGTGTCTTACCATAAATTCATTTCAAGTAGAGAGATCACTAAGTGACACCTTTTCATCAGTATCAAATTAGATTTGGACAAAAGACATTGACATAAAACTCACTGACTTTGCCATCACTTGTGAAGCACAGATCTTTACTATCTCTGCACATAATTTAAGGGCACAGTTATGGTCTGAAATAGAAAATATTTTGCTTTTATAAAAAAAATAATCTGAAGGTTGGCATGTAAGCTGCTCTTCTGTCTGTGAGAAATCTGCTTATCACCTGGAGGAAATATTTAAAATGGCTCTTGCAGAATGCTGGTACTGATCGATGGTGTCTTTTATAAGTGCTTTTAAAAAGGCTGGTAAGCCTGACTAGTCTGTTGATAAGCAATTAGCACTGTGGATTCTTTCTTCACCTCAGACAGGTTTTTTGACAAAATTATGATGGGACTGTACATAATAACACTTGAACTACAGAAGAAATTACAATTTCCTAAATACGACATGGGGATTACAAATGGCAGTACAGAATAATGAGCAGAGCTAATTAAATTTTACCTGTGCAGACTACATTTTGTCTCTTGCTCCTGCTTTAGTTAGAAGACTCAAACATGGGTGAGTTGCTTTAGATTAAAGTAAAAACTATAGTGCTCTCATCTTCAAACTCAATTAAAAGTAATTACCATTTCTTGAAAACTTTTTCAAGGCAGGGAATTGCAGGATTACACTTTTGCATGTTCTCACAAGTTCCTTTCTCTTGGCACGGAAGCAAGTTGCCAGTCATCGTAGAAAATGTTTTGGCAGTACCTTCCTGACACTTCTGTGTGGGAGGTGTAAGAAGAAATAGGGAATTCGCTCTTTGCTGCAACCATTCTTTCAAGAAGTGAGATTTTTGAGCTGGAGTTGCTTCCTGAGAGCTAAGTAATGGGGGTTGTCAAAGATTTCCAAAGAGAGAATAGCAAGAGTTATAAAATGACCTTTAAAAATAATATTTGTTTAAAACTTTTACTACATGAGCAATAGCTTGTTGTGAACAGATTTATCTGCTGTGTATGATCCCTCTTCCACCCAACTCCAGCCTCCTAGAATCCAAATTCTGTGCCTCAGATGCTTTCAGGGAGACTTTTTGTGTTTAGAGCCCTTTGGGTGGGGGGCAGCAGGGAAGCCAGGAGCAGAAAGGAGGAGTGATGTCCCAGTCACAGCTGTCTCCTCCTCGATGGCACCTACAAGCCTTGGTAAAACAGGTTTCTTTGGACTCTGCACGAATTCTGCAAGGTCAAATGAAGAGGGGATGGTCCCCACTTCCTCTGACCTCGTGGGGCCTCCCATCTGTGTCTGAACTGCCTCTCCAAGCTCCATCTGGCTCCATCCTCTCCTGTCCATATTTTGTGGACATTTTGTGACATACACCAGGTAATGAAACACACTGCCCCTTGTTTAAAAAACACAAGCCCTAGTTTGACCCTACCCCAGTCTCCTCTGTCCACGCTGGTGTGATGCCTGGTTCTGCTCCATGTCAGGCCTGCAAATAAGCAAAACCTCATGTACATGATGGTTCCACCACCAAGTATAGCTTGGGATGATGCCACTTCCCATTTTTGGGGTTATTCTGTGCGGGGCCAGAAGCTGGACTTGATTATCCTTCGGATGCCTTCCAGCTCTGGATATCCTGTGATTCTATGGTTTCTTCTTGCTTCCTCCTGCCAGGAAGAGAGATATTTATAGTAATGGCCACAGCCATGTGTTTAAACCCAGAGCATGACCTGAGCCCTTTTTGGATAAAGGCTGTGTGGTCTCTTTTCAGCAGGCTTGCCTCCTTACATTAACCCTACCTAAGGAAGGAAGCAGCACAGTGGCACACTGTTATCATGGCTTATGTAATGGTAAATACTCTGCTGGGTGTCTAAATCACTTGGTATTCCCCATGATAGCCTTAAGCCAGAAAAAAGTCTCAAGAGGGAGTAGAAAAGATGTTTTTTAGAGGAACAGTATACAAAACTTATAACTTATTTCCGGAGAAAGAATGTTCTGTGTACAAGATCATTAAAGTGTAAAGGTTTTAAAGGCACAGGGATAAAAAAGGTATTAGTCCAAAATCCAGACACTTTATTTTTTGAAAGAAAAGTATTTTCCAATCCTTTTGATTAATTAATTTTTCCTACTTAGTTTCTTCTGTGTCTTGAGGCCACATGAGTTTCCAATTCCCAGACAACAGGATCAGATTCACAGTGTTTTCTGTGACCTCCATTCCTCTCCACCTGCACATGGCACATTCCATCATTTCTCCTTGCTGCCCTCCTGCCCATAACACCTTTTTGCATGAGCTGCCTGGACACTTGGCTGTTATCTCACAGGTAATGAATTCACTTGCCCCACAAACCACTGAATTAAAGGGTTCACCTGCAGCATCCCAAAACAGAAACATCAGCACAAATATCCATAAAAGTCAGTTCCAAGGAAGTGCAAGGAAATTACTGCAGTTCTGTTGAAACTAAATCTAAAAGATCACCCTGTGCTTCCACTTCACTATTTCCAGCTGCCTCCTGCAGACACTTCCCCTCTTCATTCTGTGTTTCTTTGTGCCCCAGCTCCAGGCTGCATCTGCCAGACGTGAGCTCTTCCCAGCCAAACTCATCCACTCCTATGCATGCTCTGCTCTCCTGGAAGGAGGCAAGCCTATTTTTTGATTCAGTTTTTACTCTCCCAAGCCAAATTTCTTTCCAATGTGTTCAGGATGATGTGTTTCCACTAAATAAAACTTACTCTCTTTTTTTGGAGGAAAAGCTCAGGGAGTATTTTTGTTGCAAATTATGACCTATATTTGGGGTTTAACTATGTTATTTGTTTCTACGCTTACCAAGGAGTTACACCCTCATTTTCCTCTGTTCTTCTCCCAGACATATCAACATTAACCTCTGAATGTGAAATGTGTTTATCTGCCAAAGTTTCTAGTGGATACCAGCTCAAAAATTGACTAAAACACTTGTCCAAACTGCTAAATCAGAAAAGTACATGCAGTTCATTACTAACTCACTAAGCATTATGGTAATCTACTGATTTAGGCTGATTATTGGCTGATTTGAGAGGTGTTATGGGCTTTACAGAAGGTGTTAATATGGAGACCTGGGCTTTATTTGATGATGTGTTGAATGACTTCCAGGACTGATGTCATCTTGCAAGAAGAAATTCTTGAGTCACCCCATATAGTTCTAAAAATTTGAGGCTCTTTTTGGAAGAATCTCTTTCTTTCACCATTATGATAGCAATATGCAGAGGAAGAAAATGTCAGTGAATTTAATTCAAACAATCTGGAGCTTTGTGGGACAAAATGAAACTCTGTCCAGAAGCTGTAACCTACAGAATCACTGGTAGTAGCTGTAGTTTCAATAAGCCATTTTGCAGATTTAAATTAATTTCATATCCTTTTGACTGACCTGATCTCCTTTGAATGTACTTAAAGAAAGTATGTCCTCTGTAAGTGTGCCAAGGGCACAAGGTTGAGGGTTAGTGCTAAAAAACATCTCTACTAGATCATGGAAGGGAATTCAGGCAGTTCAGATGGTTATTTATGCATAAGTAAGTAAAAATACAAGTAGCCTCTCTTGCTTCAGCTTTCAACTGGAGTTCAAGTGACACATATAACCATGCATGAATATTTGTGAGCTGAACATTTTAGTTGTTTTCATTCTTTAATTTTAATTGCTGGTCAATAAGATAAGTGCCCAGTAGGACCTGAGCTCATTCCTCCTAAAAGCAAAGAAAAGACAACAGGATCTGCTGTAAAAATTTCAGCTTGGCATTCAAGATAAAATACGATTTTGTAATTTCTAAAAAATGTAATATTTAAAAAATGTATAAAAGCTGTGAAATTAAAATAAATACATAAACCCCACTTAAAAAAATTACAACTCTTGTTTTCTTGAAGTTGCTCAAACTTTCTTCAGTGACATTGAGCCATGTAACATATGAAACTGAAAAACTGAGCTTCACTCTCAAAGGAGACACTGCTAGCATATTATTGTATCTGTAGTGATTGTTCTATTCTACCTGTGCAATCTTTGCATGGATTCACCCCCCTCCAATTTTTCTGCTGATGAAGTACCTGTACAACTGCTGTCATTAATTATTTCTGGAGGCACAGTCTGGCACTGCCATGCCAAATTAGCAGGACATCCATACATGCTGGAAAAGCCTCAGGCCTCATTATCACCTTGTAATTCAATGGCACTTTCCAAGCTTTTTTGGAAATCCATGTTCTCACTGTGAACTGTTATGCCATCTTAACAGCCAACTTTTCTGGGTTTGAAAAAAATCTGTGGTATATATTTACTTGTATTAATGCAAGCTTGGAGATCTCTAAAGCCCACAGTTCAGCAATCTCTCATTGGTCCATTCCATCTAGCTTGCTATGCATTCTAGGCAGTGGGGAAAAGAAGAAAATTAATCAGGCATATATATATATATATATATATATATATATATATGTATATCTATCTATCTATCTATCTATCTATCTATTTATCTAGCCTGTCCTTGAGGAGACTTTCTACAAAACTGTTGTTTAGTCACAAGTTAATAACAATCCTGTCACGAGATAATGAGACAGAAACACAATCCATTATTTGCATTGGACATAATGATTGGTAGGGCTGTTGCACATTGAGTGATCTTGTACTGGAAAGGTAATGAATTCACTTCTGTCCTCTTAAGTGCTGTGAGCCATTTTCTCTGAGCCTGAAACACACACGTTTCAGGATGTCCAATTTTAGGGGGTGGTAAGATCAACTTTAAACTGATTGATTCTTGGTCCTGCAGGACTTGTACAAGAAGACATATCACTTGTACCAGGGTCAAATGCAAAGGACAGTATCCAGTCTTTGCCAGCAATTTATTGACACAGATGAGCTACTTTCAATCCTTGCTCAGAACCAGAATTGACAATTTCAAAACATTTCTCTGAGAGTTCCCATTCTGGACTAATATTAACAGCAGTCTCAAGCTAGCAGATTTCAGGACAGATTAGTTCAATTTGAAAAAGATTCAGAGAAAACTTGGCTTGCCCAGGCTGTTTAGTGAGCTTCTGAGACAAAGATGGTTATCTGTCCCTGGTTCTTCTGAGACTCGTTTCTTCTAATCAGCTGGCTACGATGCAGGTTATGCTGTCTTCTTCCATGTTCATCTCTACTAACTCATTAATAGCTCTCTCAGAAGCTGATTTTAGGAGGGTGTGAGTAAATTTTCAGCATGTGTTGGTAACTGCCCCTCCATTTCCAGCATGTGGTTTTACATGTTAGTTAAGAACTGAAAAGGGAGATTCTTCACATAAGATCCTGTCCTCAGTTATCACTGCTCCCACTTATAACATAACTTCAAAGCTTTCACTGTGGGAAAGAGGGGTCCATCTGATGAGCAATTCTCTCAAAATCCTTCAGCTTCCTTTTTCTGGTTTCAGATGAGCATGCCTGAATTACAAAATTTATCATTTCAAGAGAAGGGACTTTTTTGTAATTCTCTTATTTTGTAATTGCTGCTACATATGCTACTCCTGATACAGTTGACTTGGCAGATCAAGGTAGCCTGGACATTTTAGTGAGGCACAGAGTAATCTTTGGTTGCTATTAACAGTACCTGTAGTTGTACTTGGGCTAAATGTAATCCTCTGGCAATTATTAAGAGAATGAAAATAGACTTTAGCTTGGGACAGAGAGGATGAGAAAGGAGTAGGAAACTGTAATCCTGAATAATGAAAAGGGAGGTTATTTTCTTATTTGTAGAAAAATTATTTCTGTTGTCCACAAAGTATAATATTGAATTGTTTGTACACTTAGCAAAAGGTAATTGTTTCAAATGATTTTTGAGAAAAAGCATTTTGTTCCTCTTAAGTTCACTATTTAAATATTTTAAATAGGCTCTTCTTCAGTACTGCAAGTCCTCTAAATTAAAAACCAAAAGCCAGCACGTGTAGCTTTGCTATGATGGAGTTGCTTTTTGAGGTACCATGGGAAAATTCAGCCTGCATCCTGCCTACAGTTTAATGTGGGGATGTATAGGTCCCAGGCCACCAGGAAGCTTGTGGTAGATCTTTCAGCAGTGAGCCTCCTACCTGAACTCCAAAGCTAGTAGCCCCATAAATATTTCAACCCCAAGAGGAAGCAGCACTTTATAGTTCTCAGCGCTGTGTTCAACTAAAGCCAGTTTGAAGTTACAAATAAGATCTCTTTAAGTAATTCTTCTAAATAACTACCAAATCAGTTGTTTTTCAGTGTTAAGCAGCCACCACCACCATCCATGGTTTTCTTTTTAGTCACTTTCTTTCTGTGGTTGTTTTCTTGCCCTTAGATAGTCCTACCTTCATTGTGAAGATGTCACAATAGCTGCTTTCTCACTGGACCTTGCACAGTTCAGCCTTGGATTTATGATAATAGTATTGACAGCAGTTGTAAGGATGTTTTTTAAGCCTTCCTTGAGCGAGCTCCCTGCTGCACAGCAGCTTTCAATCACAGGCAGGACATAGTTGAATTATTCAGATAGGATAATACTTATTCAGTTCTGCCATGGAGGCAGTGACTGGCATGAAATCACCTTAGCAGTGGCTGCTATGACCAGGAATAAGGAGCTGAATAGGAAGTGTCACTCCAAGCTGACTATCCCGTAACGCCTCATAGAGAAAAAAGCTTTTAGCAGTTGACCCCAGAGGGCTGAAATTCATCTGTCTGCCCCTTCTTCCCTCCCTATCCCTATCTGGATTGACACTGGCACAGGGAAAGCTTGCTGCCCTCGGGAACTGGTGGTTAAATTTGCATTAGGAGTTTCAATGAGTACTTGTTCTATCTATGAGGCACTCAGCTGCAGCTCGCAGCCTGCCTAGTGCTGCCGGGGGATGTGGCTTGGGCTTGGGCTCAAAGGGAACAGATGTTTGCTGTGCTGCTTTACGTGGATCACCTTTACAGATATCCAGCTTGATACCACTCATCTCTCATAGAAGAAATTGCTTCTCTTTTTAGCAGCTGGTGGAAAGTAGGCTCTGCAGGCTTGATGTAATATTGTTTGAAATTCATAGCTCTTCAACGGTCTTTGAGGCAGAATAGTAATTATTGATGTTTGTTTACTTAACATAATAGTCACATACAAAGATTGCTTCTTTCCTGGCTGAACTTTTTGGTTTTTGGATAACTTTCTATGTTTATATTTTAACTACTGAGCTCATGTTTTCCTATGGATGGTACAAAACACTAACAATTTATTTCACACTCTACATAAAGTGGTTATGGCAATGCACCTGCCTCAGGTGGGTGGTTTATATACTTAATCAGCCAACATAAATTGCTTTGAACACAGCTCATTCTTGCTGGCAGCCAGCAGCATGTGTAGATTAGATGAGCATTTTGTCTCAGCTGTTCTGGTTTAAATTAAGACAACAGAAGACCAAATGTAAAGCAAGGCATAACATTAGTGTGATGCAAACTCAAAAGGTTTATGCATTAAAATTATCTGGGACGAGGTTCAATCACATGAACTACAGCAGTGATGTAGTGTGTAGAACTTTCATTGATTACCAGTTGCCACTGTTCTGTTTGAAGAAACAATTTCAGGTCATAAAACAAGTGGTTCTTTCTCATTACCTCTATATATTCACCTGCTGAGTTTATAGAAAACTGTAGCTTAGTACTTATCCCGTACTCAACATTTGTAAAGTAGGTGATATGTAGGTTACTTGGATTCTATGGCTTTTTTTATTTGCCGTGTTCAGAATGACTTGCTTTTCTCATTAAAAGAAAACCATGTAGTATTAATCTTTTTCTTCAATTATTATTGAAGTGACAGATTTTCTTACTTCTCTTGTCATGTCTGACTCCAGTGAATCCCTTCTCTGTTTCCTAACAAAGCAAGGCTCCTACAACCATGCTGTCTCCGTAGGTATGTGTTTATCCCTTATGTCTAGCCACAGTCATTTTGTGACTTGTGGGCTGTTTTCAATTCAACTTGACAGAGCAGGAGAGATTTTAAAGGCAGTTTGATTCTTCTTGGACTGGGATAATTAGGGATACAAGAAGCTGGGGAAATAGGCAAGTGCTCAGAGGAAAGATTTGCAACGTGAATGACTTGCCACTCCCATAGGAGGGATACCCTGTAAGGTATCCCAGCCTGGCAAAAAGCTGCTGCTGGAGAGAGATATCAACCATGACATATCTGGAAATCCTGATTTCTGTTGTTCTGTTGATTTTAGTCATCATGCTCACATGAGTCAGAAAGAGTTGGAAAATCACACTGCCTGGTGGATGTTCTGCATCCATCCAGTTAACATCTACACAGAGACAAACCTGACTCCAGCTTCCTGTGACTCCTCTTCCTCTCTGCCTGTTCCCCCTCTCTCAGAGGAACTCTGTTCTCTCTAGCCTCAGGGAGCTCTGGTATTTGTGTGGCTTAGGGCTTTTTTTCCTCAAAAAACTTGCAGTACTCAGAAAATAGTAATAAATACTACTCCATTGCATGAGAAGCAAAATCCCCTGAGACCTGTAATTCCACTCCCATGACCAGTACAGATGTACTTGAAATTCTCTTTAGTTTAACACTATTCTTTGATTTTGTCATTGCTAAGGTATTGCATGTGTATCTCTGTTGTGTAGAAAAAGCAAGGAGATAAAACTTGTAGGTGGAAACATAAAGGTGTGTTGGAAAATTCAGCAAAAAAGGGTCCAGCTTCACTTGTGTTAAAGTGCTGAAACAATATGTGAAGATAAACTGGGGGAGCAAATTCACAGGGTAAATATTTTCCCCAGTTAAAAATGAATGCAGATGCAGGTGTTTAATATTCGAATACTATGACATTTGCTCATTGTCATGAGTGGCATGTATTTGACAACACAAAATAAGCACCTCATCCTCCACCACTACTCATGCGTGCACAATTCTTCCCATTTAATTCAGCAAGACTAATTATCTGAATTACTGACATTAGCTTGAAGCTATGGATTTGCAGATTGAGTATTGAGTCTCTGGCTTTCAGAACAACTCCTTTAAAGGAATTAGTCATGTCTAAGTACAACAGATCTGTCAAATTGCAACCCCTGGCATTGTCTGACGTTTTGGTTGAAAGCCAGCCTTACACAAGACTGTCCTCGTGGCAATAGACAGTGGTTATCCTAATTTTATGGCTCTGACAACCCTAAAATGGCTCACAGGGGTTGGGCAGTTACCTCACTAGCTGATAGCAGATGATAGCTGATAGCACTTCACTTTGCCCTCCACCTCACTGATGGACTTTGTCATCCCCACTCCAGGGATGTCTATCTGCAAAGCAGCTTCTGAACTACCCCCATTTTTGTTTAACCTGACACGTAGGCATGAAAACTGCAGTTAAAGCACAGACAGTCACAACCCCCTGCCTTGACAGAAACTACATCAATTAGGGAGACGGGCAGAAGAAAGCAGCACTTCAGAAACTGGTTCACAAGTGGTGTGGGCATCAATGCCTGCAGAGTTGCAACTTCTCTGGGACCAGCAAGATGCTCATCTGGAGCAGGTCATCCTTGGAGTTTTAATGCATATCGACTTGGAATAAAAGGTGATGCTTATCCTTACAGCCCTGCATTTTGCTATAAATTAAAGAGTTTCAGTAACTCTGCCACGTCTGCGCTGCTGCTGAGGAAAATCCTGGAAATAATTTTTAGGGTCTGTAGCCCTAGCTTATCCAAGGCTGACCAGTGCAGAGAAGGCAGGCAGCAGGGACAGGCCATGACTGTGTTTAACCAGTGAGGTCTTTAGCCTATACATCACTTGTCACCCCTTATCTTTGAATGAACTGTACATAATTAAGCAGTGTGACTAAAGATGTGAAATCCTACATGGCAAAGAGTGAACTTGCACCTCATTTATCTCTTTCAAGTGTTTAATGAATTTTCATCTTCAGCTAATGAATAATGGCAATTTCAGGCCCATTGTTCTATGCAGGGAAATTAATAATGGCCTGAGGATAGTTTCATACCTAGAAGCATGGTAGAGATTGCCAAAAAGCTAGAATGTGGATTTCTTTCTAGAAGAACCAACATTATCTCCAAATTTGTTCCAGTTAGTGTGCAGTCCATATTCACAAAGAATTCTTAAAGCACAACATGCAGAAACTGCTCCTTGAGGATAAAAAGCAAGCAAAAATTTCCTTCCTTCACCTACCCTGCAGGTTACCATACATTTTGTTTTCCTCAACAGATCATCTTTATTCATGCAGAAATTTTGACCAAGTTTGAAAAAGCTTTTAATTGTTAGCATTATATTAATAACATATAAAAGAAACATGGAAGCCTCATCCTCTCTTCAAAGACATTCTGAAATAAGGTACATTCCTTAATAGGAACCAGGAAACTTGCAAGTTCAAGAACATAAAGTACATTTGTCACCACTATTTTCTTTATGGAAAAGGAGCTGTGAATGTTTCTACCATTTCCTATTTCTGTGAAGTAAGAAAAAACAACTCACAGTAGTAGCTGTGAGTTCACTCGGTTTTGGCATTCAAGACCAAGTACAGAAGATTAAATAAGGAAAGAGAAGCACTGACATGAATGGATGTACTGCAACACCTACTACTAGTACTTGAAAAAATGGAAATGCACTTGAACTACAGAGAAGCAAATGTGCTGTACTTCTCTCACCCATCCAAAGTGACTGATTTTCATTTCTCACTCTCAAAAATGTTTAGTGTTTAAGGAAAATCCTGAGAAAATACAGTGTGGTTTTCAGTCCCAGAAACAGGAATCTACAATTGTTTAGTCAAAAGAATATCTTACCTGAAAACACTAGGCATTTTTAAACCCAACCCACTAAAACTTCATGGTTGGTTTTCTTCAACTTCTTATTCAATTTACCATGACCTACATCTCAGTTCTACTTACAAATATAAAATATGAAGTATTTATGCAGATAATTAGTGTGTTAGTTTGGGTTTAGACCCAAATGGGATGAGATAAAGTCATCTTATCAAATACATAATGGCAAACACATAATATGCAATATCTTAACATGGCCAGATACAAGACGTGTAGGATTTAATAGCTTGTTGTTGGAGGTGAGTCCCAGACTGCTGTAGTAGCTCCATGCAGAATCTGATGTTGTTGCTAGAAAAGATAGAATAAATTGCTTTTAGAAAAAAAAAAATCACAAAATTAATTTAAAGCTCCTGTCAACAGTTTTAGTCTTCAGATTTGCCAGTTTTTGCAAATGTTTTCTTCTGGAAGTACATCCCCTGAACCAGATTCCTGCATAGGTTGTATAGGCTTTCAATTTCAGAATGATCTCTAATCAAGGAAAATAAGGTTGAAAAGAATTGTTCTACTTTTACATAATGGTCTTTGTAACTTCTAGCTTGATGCTTCTTTACTACTAAATGGCTTCTCAAAAACTCTAGATGTCAATTCCTGTCACATTAGAATTGGGAGATTATTTCAGTCTGTGAATTTACTAGCCTTGCATTGAAATCATAACCATATTTCAGTGGGAGTGCCTGCAAAAGTGTTTATGTAAGTGGCTTTAATCCTGTCATACGACAATCATTAGTATTATCTTTCTGGAGGCATAACTCATCCTGAAGTCTGCCTGGCAGCTGCTGCAATCACAGCCATTAGACTCATGGATGCACAGCCAAGAATTAGACAAAGAGCTTTTCTCCGTGAGGAATTTTTCTGATGGGAAAGACAGTGGGTTTGCTTCAGAAAATTAGGTAAAATGCAAATGTGTAAATTTCAGGTAAACTTGTCATAACGCAGAAGTGACTGGTGCTATCCGCCCATGTCAGTACTAGAAATTGTGATTTAATAACCTCGTACTTCCTTCCAGCTGCCCAAGGGCACCAGCTGAAGCCTCAGCAGGAGGGAAGGTAAATTATAGCTTTTAGCTATTCTCTCCTACTTTTCTTCTGCTCAGAGTAAGTGAAACTGGTGTCACCTTTCAGGTGGAACCGTCCTGGAAAGCTCACTCTAAGAGTCACCAAGTCAAACTCCTATCTTATAAAAAATAAAAGATCTTTCCAAAGGCTGCATTTCAAAATGAAAAACTCATTTTCAAAAAGAAAGGTACTTTTAAGTCAATAAAATTCAAAGTGTATTCAAATCAAAATACATGAGAAGTTTACCCATTTTCCAATTAGTGGTTTCAGTCAGACTGACAGATTGCTGTCTTAGTAACTATTTTAAGCACTGAAACTGTAGACTTTAGTTCTACCCGCTTCTGTCCATGTTTAAGGACTGCAGTATCTTCACAGAAAAAGTGTTTCATGGGAATAATGTGTGTATTGTGCTTGTCCAGTTGAATCATTTAGTAATTGTTCCCTAAATCTGAAAAAAATTTGTCCCAAAAATGTATCCAATTTTAGCACAATCCTTAACAATTTCTCTGAGACAGTTAGCAACACTTCATTTCACATACCCCTGTGCCAATCTATAAATACTGCTTTTACCAACTGCTATGTCTCATTCTCTGTTTTGTTCTGCTGAGGTTTTATTCCACACTGAATACAGTTTTGTTGCTGAAAGAGATGGGTTTTTTATCTTTTATTTCTCTCCTCAGGAATTGCTTTCTGTCTACTTTTTAAATCAACCCTATAGGAAGCAGTTTAGCTTCTGTGGACTTTGAAAAAGATATATATTCTTTCAGCTCTTAATGAGTTTTTCCAAAACATACTTAAAAAAGAAACCACCAGAAAAAAATGACCACATTTAAATAACTATTAAACTTGGACAGTAGAAACAAATCTTCCTTAATTTTTCAAGATACAATTGGGTTTTTCACTGTGTCAGGTTATGACACTATAAAACAATGTCAGCAGTTTTGTAAGGGTCAGTTTTACTTACCTAGGTACACACAGGCTCTGAGTCTATGAAATGTTCTGTTGGGAAACCCCATCGAACACAGCTGTTGGAGGATCGAAGGCAAAAGGGTCCAAGTCCATGTAGTATTGTGCTGTTTCCCTCAAAGCTGCCCATGATTCACTAATCTGAAGTAGATCAAGACAAAAAGGAATATACTGAGCTTTGATACCGAATAAATACTCTCTGTGACTATTGAGCAGCCTTGCCCATGCTTGCTGAAGACCACCTCTAGGTCAGGGGTGGCTCTGTGTGGTGGAAAAGTCTCTCCTCCACCCCGAGCTTCCAAAGAAAGGCTCAGCAGTCTCTGTTGTTCGGTCTCAAGGCAGTTTATTGCAAGTTATCTAAAAGATTTTCTTCTGGGGCTGCTGTGGTTTGCTCACAGCTCAGGCAGAGGCACACACACACCCTGACATCCTCTCTGACCCCCGACTGCTTCTTCTCTCCCCCTCTGCCCAGGGCTGTGCTGTCTTTTATATGGTACATTACGTGTTACATGGTTACAGTTTTTCCCCAATGCCTATTACCTATATTAAATGGTGCTTTTCTATCTTTTATATGGTACATTACGTGTTACATGGGTACAGTTTTTCCCCAATGCCTATTACCTATATTAAATGGTGCTTTTCTATCTTTTATATGGTACATTACGTGTTACATGGGTACAGTTTTTCCCCAATGCCTATTACCTATATTAAATGGTGCCTTTCTACTCTAAACCAATCTGTGAGTGCCAACACCACCAAGAACATGGAGGTAAGGAAGAAGAAAGAGGGAGGACAGGGCAGGCCCAAATCCCTCCATCTTAAACCTCTGACCCCCATGTACAAAACCAAAACCCCCCTGTACACCACTCAAAAATTCTTCCTTCTACTTTGTGACTACTTCCACTATAATATCTAAACTTTTGTGACTTCTTGTTCTTCCTGCAAGGTTGGTAGATCGTTCCATGGTTCAAACCCAAAATCACAGCTGTTTCCAGCTGCCTGCCAGGGTCTCAAATGCTTCTGACCTGGGCTCAGAACATCCAAAAATGTCTGAGGGACATTTTGAGTTCCGACACATGTTGATAAATCAGCAAAATGTCCTCTCTTGACCCAAAGGATTTGTGTTACACATTAATTCCAGACCCATGCTTTCTTTTTCTCAGTAGGTGCTGCAGGAGGAAGGGAGAAGATACCTGCTCAGCCACGGTGTGTGCCCACGTCTTCTGGCTGCTGCTCGAGTCCCAGTAGCTGGGAGAATATGGAATGTGTCGCTTGAGCCGCATGAATTGATTCGCTGGCTCTTCTGTCAGAAAGGGTGCTCCAAGGACACTCGACACAGAAGCTGATGAATATTTGTAATATCAGAATAATATGTTAGATTGTGCACTTCAATAATACACTGATATCCACAGAAAATGGTGTTGAATCTGTAGTTTATTTAATAAAATTCAAAGGTGGTCCTACCTTAGATTTTACTTAGAAAAAAAATCTACCTTAGATTTTACTTAGAAAGTAAAAAGAAACTTTCTTTTTAGACCTGAAGTTAATAAAACAAATGCTCTAAATCATTATTTTGTTGTTGAATCTGAAGTAAATAAAGTTACAACCTAATTAAGGCACTAATTTATCTTCTTAGACTGTAATTGCACTAATCTCAGGTGTGCTGAGAGCCTAAAGGTATTTAAAATAACACAAACCCTACCTGTGAATTTATCTATGGTTTCCAAACCTCCTGGTTTATGTGTGATATTTACTCTCATTAGTATCAACATAGAAATTGAATGCTTGGAAATTGCTTTCTGAATAGAAGATATTGCACTTCTAATCTTGTTATTGCATTGCTTCAGATAGCTGCTGAGGTCACAAGCTTCATATGAAAGGCTCTGGTGCAGAAAAAAAAAAAAACTTTTCTTTTTAGTCTCGAGTGTTTGAGACATAAATTAATTTTGAGACCTAAATTAATTTGGGGCGAAAAGAGTCCAAAATAGCATGTCAGTCCAAATCACACAATTTTGAATGAACCACTGATTAAGATAGAGCTCAGATCCATCAGCCGAGCTGAGGCCAGTAAACAGCTGTGTCTGTAAACAGCTGTGCTCCAATCTAGTCAAGTGGGTTTAAATGGACACCTGAGGGTGACCTGCACATGCTTGGAACAGATGGGCCAAGAACCTGAACCGTTTTCTAATAAGTCTTGGAGTAGGAGCTCAGCAGGACAAGCTATCACCTCGCTCACAGCTCTCCAATGCCCTGATTCCTGAATTTCTAGGGGGAAAATTTAACTGGGTGTATCAAATGTTTGCTTCCATATGCAATGTTCAGCTGAATCAAGCTGTAATTCACTTGTAATTATTGCTGATCATATTCCTGATTGTAAAATATTTCGTGATCATCAAATATTTCCTGATTATCCACAATATTGTTGCTTTTTTAATTTTTTAAATAGAAGAAAATGTTTGCTGAATTCATATACGTAGAAGATATGTGAATGAGAGTGTTTGCTGCTCCCTTTCACTTTGTTTCTTTTCAGTGCCAAAAATGCTTAAAAAGAAATGAGAAAAAGTTTGGTTATACAGTAATGAACAAAAAAAAAAGTGAGGGTGGTTGCAATCTTTGGTCTTAATATAGACATCAAATAGTACTTCAAAAAAGCCACTTAGCAAGAAACAACAGTCCCAGTAGTTCCTTGCTACTTCAGTTCTTCATATTCCATGTTACTATAATCATAAACTGGAAGTAGAAGTTTTAGGGTGGGAGTTTTCAAGGAATACCATCTTCAAAAATGTTACCAACTCCATGAAAAAAAGTAAGTTCAGATATTTGGTGGAAGGCCGGGAAAGAAGAAAATATATTTCATGCATATGTCTATTAAGCTGCTATACTTGTATAAGAGAAAACTAAGCTTGTGCCAAATTTCAACATTTCTCCAGCAATTTACTATTTTCCAGTAGAAAAATCTATGAGCTGTTAATTTTTCTTTAGTGAATTTGGGGAATTTTTTTTTTTATTAACTATTTTGTAAGCTCATGATTACATTTCTGGGCTGAAATAACTGAACTGGGATCAAAAATTGACTCATTAAAAAGGCTTCCATTTTCTTTAAATGTACATATAGTTAGTAAGGGCCATTAAACATTACATTTTATCACCAATATGTGCTCTGGCCCTCCAAATTTGAAATAAGCTGCAAAAAAAAAAAAAAAAAAGAGATCATTAGGCAGCTCTGCTTCTTGTGGGTTTTTCTCTTGCTGCCAGCATCTTTAAAAATGAGCTTGTCATTCCACAGGTGGGACAGTGAGGTGTTATCTTGGCTACTGTGGTGCAGCAAGCTGCATCTTCAGGGTATTACATGTCAATTTTTAATATACAGCCTTCTCAGGCTGCACCTCTAACTATGCTAAGTATTCACTTTGATGCTCTGAGGAGAGGCAGGTATGCCAGCTCTGCTCTTGGCTTTTCTTGTCAATGCTGACACCTAGATCTTATTCTTTTCTAGCTGCTGTTTCATTTCCTGGGAGCTGTCTCTGCAGAACTAGTACCCAGCTGCTGGGGTACTCCAAAAATGCAGAAGTACCAAGAGAAAATCAGGTAAGTGCCTCTATATATCACCTAATCCTTCAGGTTTATCTCATTCTCTCTTTGTCTTGCTGTAAAGATAATGATAAGTCTCTGAATATGGCAAACTTCATTCACCTCTGGAAAAACTCCAGTGAGATCATTTCTAGCATAACCAGAATTAGCCCTGTTGGTCTTTCACTGTGGCTGCACATTTGTTTGTGCTCTGGCAGAGCTCAGATGTTGCAGCATTTTTGAGAGAAAGAGGACATGAGTTATGAGATTGAGCTACTCCAGCCTAGGCCTCAGATTTGGGCCTGATGAGGCCTTCAAGCCTCTGACGCAGTTAGAAATTAAGAGTTTGTGGCACAGATAGAAATTGTATTAAGGTGTGATGGGGACCACTGGGCTGTCTGGGTGTGAATTAGTATAGGTTTATAGTGTAAGGTTCAAGCCACTTTAAGGAAAAGGTAAACAATGTTAGCTTGCCAATCAGAGCGCCTTTGTTTCTGTAAACTATGTAGAAGCTTATATAAACTACCACCTTATCTTGAATAAAGGGAGAATGTTTGATTAACCACATTGGTTCAGATCTGCGTTTGTCTTGTCCAGTTTCCCGTTTTTCTGAGATTCCCTGGCTTTTCTCAGAGAAAGCAAGGTCTTCACTCAGCTCTGATGTAGATCTGGAGTCATCAGACCAGGCGTCTCCATCTGAGCAGCCCCTCTGAATATAGTGTAGAGTTTCCATCAAATGAACCATGTCTTGCCTCAATTTAAGTTTCTTGGACTGGGTGTAATTTTCCCCCTCCTTTTGAACAGCTTAGCAAAATATTATGGAAACGTTTGCTTTATAAACACAGAGTATTCCTGAAGGAGTGCATCTTGTAGAAGATTAGCATACAAACCAGGAGAGTGGAATTTCAGAGCATCTGATGTGAGACTAGAGGGAGTTAGGAGCAGGTGGGTGATGTTAATAAAATGGTTTAGAGTGTGTAAAGCTGAGCTGCAAAAAGATTAAGAATTTCAAGTTGTACTGAAACAGTTAACTCACCATTAAGGGCAACCAGACATGTTGTAGATTTTTTGGGGTTTTGGTTGGTTTTTTTTGAATTCAGTACTGTTTCCCTCTCTTAGATAAATATGTGATTTGAAAAGCACTTTTAGATATAAATGTCCCAGTGGGAAAATAAAAGGAATGCATGTGGAGGGTGAACTATTGCCAAGGTTGTATCAGCTGTTACCAGTTAGAATGTGTCCTTTCATCATCTCCTGAAGATTCACTCAGTGTTCTCACATGAGAAGCAAATTATAGAAAAAAATTGGCTGGTTTTAGCAAGCAGATGCTTAGCTCATGTAATTATTGCCTTGAGCAGATAGTTTTGTCTATCCTGTGTACCTCAAGACATTGTCCAGAGGGAAAACTGCTAGTAGTTATTATTGCTACCATGCCTTCTGAGCATCTAATTTTGGATTACTGTGATCTAAGACTAAACTTGAGGAGGGATGGTGATACAGCCTTGCCATCTTTGTCAAAAAAGTAAATGTGCACTTAATCCACCATTGAATATGTTTAAAAAAAAAAAAAAAACCAAAACAAAACAAAACAAAAAAACAACCACTGACAAAAGTCTGATTATAAAAAGGCATATAAAATACCATGGAATGACAAAGTAATAATAAAAAATATCACTGTATATCAAGCAAACTGCACTCAAAATAGAAAATCAACCTGGATACATCTTAAATTACTGTGCTTTAAAATCTCTTCATCCTAGGCTTGAATGGAAGCATATTTCTCTTTACAAGGACAGATTTCTAGAAAGCAACGTTCTCATCTGGGTGCAGCCACAAAATCTTCCCAGGAAGACATCTGTTTCTATCAGCTGAATGTGCAGTGATCCACTTCATCACACAATCAAAAAGGTGAGTATGGGATTAAATTTTGACACATTTTCCTGCTAAGGGACCTATTTAATTGATATATATTTTCTTTTGTAAAAGTTAAGTAGCAAGAGCCATTGCATGCTTACTAGTCTGGGGAGAGCAAGCAGGCCACAATTTGCACACCTAATGTCAGATTTTAATGATAAGAAGACAAATCTTCAAACTTGCCTTAGTATAGGATATACATCTTCTTGCACTCTCTACCCCAAAGCTTGTTTTTATCTAGACCAGCACTATTGTATAAGTGGTAAGGAGCAATCTCTAGGCTTAGTACCAAAATTTATCCATGGTGTGCATCTACCACAGGGAAAAGTACTTTATCTCTGATTTCTTGTGATATTTATAAAAAAACCCTGTAAATTATTTAGTAGCACTTCAAACACTCTCTGTGCACACTACTGTTTCTCCCTAGTTTCTGAAGACTTGCAAGTTTCTGACAACTTGAAAACATATTGCTGAAGTTAATATCCATGTAATTTAAATGTCAAAAGTTGGCAATTGCTCTGGCTCCTTTCCTTTAGGTATATTATTAGAACCTTAAGGTCTAATAACTGTTATTATTCACTATAGTGACTCTCTGGTCAAAATCTCAGCTTGTGGAGGTAAGGCTGCCAGTCTTATCAGCTCTTCAGGACACAGCTTGGACAGAGGCTAAACTTGGACACAGCTAAACTTCAACCTTGCTGAGGTGGCAGGTGCTGACGTGTTAGGAACTTTGAAAAAGTAAATCGAGTCTGCAGCTCGGGTGTGTTTCCTAAAACTAGAAATGAGCAGAATGGACCAGCTCCTCACCACGTTTCAGCTGACTTTCTAAATCCAAGTTCACTAAGTCAAACCACCACAGGACTCAGAATACCACAGTGCAAATGCTGAAAAGAATGTGGCAGCAGCTGCTTCTCTCTCACCCAAGTATTTCTCTAGATTATGTGGCATTCCATGGAAACCCAGATGTGGTTATCTGTCAGTACACTACCTAAAGTGGCTGGATTGCAGCAAAGAGACTTGTGGATTCTGGAGGCCACCTCTGGCCCAGATAGCACCTTTTTTCAGATGAAAAGTGTAATCATATTAATGTCTAACACCTGCACATTGCTTTCTTCAAATTATTTTTAAAAATCTTTATAGGTACATAGGCTTTGTATCCTGGAGTGTTTGGATGGTAACAAGCCTTAGAATAGAATTAAATCATTCAGATTTGCTAATACCTGTTGACAGTAAGATTTAAAGTCACTGATTAAGTGCTTCAACTCTTTCCATATCACCCAGTCTTTGAAATTTTGGCTTTATCTGTTTCTTTTTCAAGCTTGAAGAAAAATAATAAAATTTGACAATTCTTAATTTTATATCACAGGACACAGAGCTCTCTGGTTCAAGAGAGGTCCTTAAAAATCCTTAGAGCTACAGCATCAGCCTCATTCCCTCATCAGCAAAGGCAGAGAAGTTACAGACACTTAATGCAGAATTAGCTATTGAACATATTCAATATGTGCAGTGATGCCAGGGGTTAGGCCAGTTTTCAGGCATGAGTAAATAGCAAGGCAATTTGGCAAAAATCCTAGATAATCCTAGGGAAGGAGATACTCCCACCACCATCAATTGGTCCACTCAGTGGGTCCTGTTGAGATTTCCTTTCTGCATCCATATGTGGCAAAACACCCCCATCAGACCTGAGAGACTTCAGCAATTGTCTCAGTGCCAATACATGACACTCCTACCACATCCCTTGCTGCTGCACTCTCCAGGGGCTAAAGCAAAAGGTCCAGAGAGCCTATTCCTAGGTTTACTATGAGGAGTGATTTATAGCAGCTGAATTGAGGGCATGAAGAAAAATAAGGTTCTAATGAGAGTGTTATAGTCTCTATTTTATTTTACCACCACCTTCACTGTTGCTGAAAGGATTTACAATTTATGAAAAACTGAACTGATTGTGATCAATGAAAATTTTAACATCTCATTAAAAAGTAGTAATAAGTGTTTCTTAACATATTTTGAAGAATAGAAACTTGAAAAGAGTTTTGAAAACAAGAGAAGAGACATAAAGGAGATTAAAATAAAGTCTTCCAAAGGGAGACTTCCCAGCTTGGCCTCAGGTGACCCTGTTTGCACTATAAATGGCCTTCAGTGGAAAGGAGGTGAAGTTCAAGAAGATAGGCAAGTGCCCAGGAATTGTACCAGTTCAACTGCAAATCAGAAAGGGCAAATAAGGGGAAAAGGTTTATAGGTGAGCTCAAACTTGCAGAAGAGACAAAGTCCCTTTCCATCTCCTTATTTCCCTACAGAGCCTCCCTGCAGCCAAAACTCAGGTTCATATGGCATGGAAGCAAATTCAGCCCAAGAGATTATACCTTACTGAGATCCCAATTTACAAAATGTTTTTCAACAATCCACAATTAATCATTGTCTCCCTCATTCTGCCTTAGCTATTCACATCATGTAATTACATGCATGTAAATACACTGCATGTGTATTGGAGCATTTAAATCTAAGAAATGCTTTTCATGCATGCATGTGGATAGACCATCTTGTCAAGATGCAGGCAATCACTTGGGAAGTCAGCTGTCACTTACTGCCTGCCTGGTTTGTTTTAATTTTGTGAGAAACAAATTAATCCTGCAGCACGTGCATCACTGATCATTGACTGTACCAGCATGTGCTGCTTTGGGAAGAGCATGTGGCAGCCCTGCCCCATCCATTTTCCCTCTGGTCCAAGTTTTACAGGTTGAGTCTTGATTGTAGATGCCCTGGTTACAAAGTGCTGTGAAGATTCAGCATCCAGACAGCCTGAGTGCTTTAAAACGGTCTCCTTAAGAAATTCATGTAAGAAATTAATGTTCCAGAAATCACTTGTGAAAGAGATTATTTTGGGTCCTTATAAATGCATGTGAAATTGTTTACTACAAACAATAAATGTTGAGATAAGAATAATATTTAAAGAAGATTTTGTAGAAGCAGTATCAAGCTCTTTTTAAAATTTTAACAGTTAAGGATTTTTAATTCTTTTTACAATTTTAACAGTTCATTTTAACATCCTGTAAGAATGCCTTTCAGTCAGAAATACATCCTTCCTCCTTATACATGAGCAGTAAAAGGCTCAGAAGTAGTCACGAGGGGCAGAAGCAAACTATATTTCACAGACTTTGCCATGCAATCTTGTGCTCACCCACTCTCCTGTATGTCCCTGCTGCAGTGATTTCCAGTTAATTGGTGCTGTTCTGGTGGTAACACAGGGGTTTTTGCCAGCTGACTATTTAATAAGCATGAAGGGAATGACATGAAATAGGATGCCAAGCACTTACCTGTAAACAGCAGAGCAGACACCAAAATTTGAAACATTTTCAGAGACATGGCAAATTATTCAGAGTTTCCTTTGTAAAGTGAAGAGAGTGATAGAGTTTTATACTTTTTTATCTTTAGGTTTATAAATCATTTACCAGATACGTGTAAGGGGTTGGTTCAGGCAGAGGGCAGGGTACAGTGCTTAGTTCAGATTTGTCCTATATGCATCTGTTTGTACACTTTGGACTTTGCAAGCTGAGCCTCTGACGAGCCATAATGGCTCGTCATTGTGTGGATGCATTTAATTCTTCATAAGTTTTATGATGCAAAATAGCACATTGGGCTTGTTCTGTGAGCATTAACAGGTAAGCCTCAGTCAAGCAATCTTTTGCATGGCTATTTTCCCCCTCACCCTGGTGATAGGTGCAAGCAGTTTATAGTTTGGTGTGAATACAAATGGTGAGTCTACCTGCTCTGAGAACAGTGCCAGAGTATGCCATATATTTCAGCTGCAGACTGCTTGGGTTAAGGAAATCAACCTATAATAAAATTGCCTGAAAATTTTTTTATTACACACAGGTGCATAGGAGGGGACACTATTGAACAGTGTAATCCTTAACTTTGTTGTTGGTCATGTCACAAATTTAGTATTATTTTAGCATTGTTCTAAAAAAAAAAAAAAGAAAATCAATACATCCACCCCAGGTAGCAAATTAAATATGGAGGCAGGTGTTCTGCATTCTGGTGTCATATTAATGACAAATATTAATTATCCAAACTAATGACCAGTTTCCCCACCTCTGAGCTACTATATTAAAATTTAGATGTCAGCTTTTTTGTGGATTAAAAAAAAGGTCTAATGGCTGGAATATTTGCTAAGAGGTGACACAGAACTCTCAAGAATTGTAGATCCCTCAGAAATAAGTTCCAGGGAAGCGTAAAAGTTATCCTTTCACCTCACAAACTTTGTGGGCTGTTGCCTCGAGCCTTCCACACTTTTCTCTCGAACGGGCCTGAATTTCTATTGCAGCTTCCTCCCACAGGTTTTTCCTCACAGTTCCTGATATAATGACTGGAAGAACATGTTGGTGTGTCATTTTATATTTATTGCAATTATGTCTTCTTTAGCGTGCAGCCTGCTCAGAGAGGTAGTCTCTGCTAGTGACATGGCACAGGTGGAGACAAGAGCAGCCAGCAGCAGATCACAGGGAGGCAGACTGGACTGGCAACAAAGACCCAAGTCACCTATTCCTCTTATTTCATCTTAGGAAGCAAGAGGAAGAGATAAGAGAGTTTTTTTTCAGGAACAGGAGTCAAAAAAGTGATAAAACAGAGGACATAGATCCCAACTGATCCTGAGTAACCCAAGTCCAGGCTCCCAGAACCTAAAAACAGCCTTACTTCCATGATTTCCAAATAAATCCTGTAGAATATGACTTATCTATATCCTTTACAGACGAAGCCTTGAGTCTGTTATAGGAAAAGTCCTCTCTGAGAGGCACAAAATATTCTGGTAGGGTCACAAAACATGGTGTGTATGTTGCAATGCCTGGGTTTGGCTCAGAGTTCAGAACACAAGGCTTTCTCTGCTGCAGAGTGGAACAGTAGTCAGCCAGATTAGGCTTTGATACAAGATCTGAGAAGCAGCTAAATTACAGATAGCACGTCCCCTAGGACATAGAGATCCATGGCACCTGAACACTCCTGCAGCTTTCCTTTGTTTCACCTTCTATCCTGCCATGTTTGCTTCTTGTCTGATTCAGGCCTTGCCCTTGGCCCGCACTCTGTCTTGTGCAGCCTGCCCAGCTCTGCATTCTTCCCCTAGGACATCTTCCCTCTTGTTCTGTGTTTTGCAATTTCACATAAAAAGACATCACGCCTGAAAAACCCAGCATCTTTAGACTGAAGAATTTATAGGTCTTTTATGAGGAGAGTGGCTTTCCAGTGTGATTTCCCTTTCCTCCCTTGGTGTCCTGTTTCCCATATCCACAAGCTCTGAGGTTCTCTCCCTCCCTCCCTCCCTCCTACCCATGTCCTGCTGTTGCCAAGTCTCACTTCTGCTCACAATAGCCAGTGTTTTTCCTGAAGTGTAATGTACACATACTTTGGGGCTTGCTACACCCTACTGGCTCACATACAAAAATTTTCAGAAGACAGATGAGTTCTCAGCAGTTCTTTGAGGCCATTACATAGGCAATCTGGATATCACTAAAAAACCCATGAAAAGCATGATTTTTTTCATTGAATGTAAAATTTCAGCTGTTAGTCACTAACAGATATGGAGGCTGTAATTTTCTGGAAGATTTGTAACTTGGCCCAAAGGATCAAATTTTCATATGGAGGAATCAATCATTGTATCATTTTCTTATGATGCCCTCCCTCTCCTGTCAGACTTCTATTCCCTACTTTAAAACACAGAAAGCTTAGTCAAAGGAGTTGTCATCAGAATATTCAGTTCAAATTACACTTCCCCACACACATCCTTATCTCATTTGCAGAAATTATCAAGATATTGACTAAAGTGGTTCCAAAAACTTCAGCTTGATGCAGATACCTTACATAGTAAAAAAACAAAACAAAAACAAAAACAAAACCCGAAAAACAAACAAACAAAAACAAATCAAAACAAAACAAAACAAAAACTAAAAAAAAACCTCAGAACAAATTATAAAAGTTCAAATGACTTATAGGTTAGTGAAAGTAGGATTATCTGAAGGGACATTTTAAGCAATCTACAATGCTACCAGACTTACCAAGAAGGTGTAAGGTAGCCCTCAAGCAGCAGAACTCTGTTAGGGAAAGATCACACCATTTTTCCTTTTACATTTCATAACCTTAGACATTAAATCACCATTTCAGAGGAAAGATCTGTGTTCTTCCCCTAATAGTATCAATTATTTTTCTTTAAGGAAAAAGAGTAAAACACCAAACTAGCTGATTATAAATGAAACCATTTTAGCAAGAAAATGATTAAAAGAGGTAGGACTCATCTTAAAAAACAATCTGAGGAAGTTGATGGTGACGGGCTATACAATGAGGTCTCCAGCTCCTTGAATTGTTATTTTATGTATTTTTCACAGGTGGAGTGGTAGTAAAATATTTGAGAGGGTTGCTGAATATCCTTAAGATTATTTGTTGTTTCAATTTGATTGAAAACAGATAACATAGAAAGTTATTGGGAAGGAGAAGGCAAGTAGGAAATCTTAGTTGGGTTGGGAACAAAAAAGCTCAACAACTTGAGCTGGAAAATCCAAATTCTTTCTCTTCTTTGGCACCAGCTTCTCATCTGCCTAGGAAGCTTGACTCTTTTGGTTCAATTGCACCAGCTAAGTATAATGCTAATCTATAAGATTTTGTAAACCACTGTGTAACTGTTGAAAAATGTAATCTTCTGATGTATTTAATATGAAATTCCTCATTTGTTTTAGCTTGTCTAACACTTAGCAGCTCTCTTTCTTCATCTCTAAGATATCTTTGATTTAAGTAGACATGCCAACACCAGTGTTTAATGCCTGTTGTGTTGCTGTGGTATCTTTTTAGAGTAGAGATGAAGTAAGTGCTAGGTAATAGTTAAAGGAACATGAAACATATAGAAAAGCCTCTCAGAAGAAAAAGGACTAGGGAGGGGGAAAAGAAAATAATGACCATTGCTGTTGTGACTGGTATCCCATGGCCTGTACAACCACCATGTTGAAGCTCAGGACTTGAAATCAGAGGCAGTAGATGGGTGTTTAAGTGTTTCTTGACTGATTCTCAACACCTTAGTTTTGTAACTACTTCAAATATCCATAGATGAACAAGTTGCACCACTGAACCCTCCCCTTGATCATTATTTGGGCAACATTTCTTCTGTTATTTTTGTGTTGTGCGAAGAGCCTGGCATAATTCTGCATTCTATTTCTTGCTTGGAAGAAGGGCAGGAAGGCTACAGTTTGACCTGTTTTCAGTCTGAGTGCTGCTGCACTTCAGTAGAAAAGATGATCCTTGGCAGGAGTTTTAAGAATGTACCCCTTGACTTTCAGGATTTTGGGTCAGCCACTGATTTCAGTGAATATTTTCTATGTTCTGTCCCAGACCCTCAGAGCAGTGAGAGACTGGAAAGACACCTGCAATCAGCCTGGCTCTGAAGGCATGTATCCACACAGGAACTTGGGGCAGCACGCTGGTTCCAGCCATGGCAAGGAGTGCAGGAGAGGATTCCTCTCTGGAGTCATCACTGCTGACTGACCTACCTTTAGAAAATATTCCCCCCTTACAGAAATTCATTATTTCCTATTTTCTCAAGGCGATGGTGTAAAGGCAGTTTGTATAAATCTGTGTGCAGTGGAATTGAGCTGAGACCCAAAGGGAGGTCTAATTGTGAGCAAGTTAACAGATCTTTTATTAACCATTACTTCAAATATCTGTCATGTTTTGAATTAAGCCTATTGGCACAAGGTGAGGTATTTAGCACAGCAGGACTGTGCACTTTACACCTTCTGACTTGGACATATGCTTTTGTTCAGTTTTTTCTTCCAAACAGCTACAGCTCCACCAGTCCCATCCTACTGCTCTTGTGCTTGAGCACTTTTGTTCCTCTTATATTTATGACTCCCAAGGCTCAAGTAACTCTCTCTTCATGATGGGAGAAGGTATGAATGCTTTATCTTGTCTTCCCAGAACTGTGCTCTGTAAAACTCTTACCTTTGAATGGCATGTATCCTCAGTTTACCTGTTCCAGGAGCAGATTGTGCCCCAGTATTGCACAGCACAGCCATGTCTGAGGCAGAATTCCCACACCAGTCTGCACTCCCTCTGGCTTTCTGGGTGTAGATAATAGTTTACAGGCTTGTTCTTTCCATGACCACAGGCATTTTAAGCCCCCTACAAGTATCACCCACTGTCTCAAATATTGTAGTTCTTTTCTTAACATGTGTTGAGTTACCAGCACACACAACTACTGGTTGTGGTTTCCTTCCTCTAATTAGTGCAAAGTTTAAGAAAGGATGCCAGCATCCAATTAAGTGGACTAGAAAGCTAATCACTGCTTTAAATGATCATCTGGTTCCCAAAGCCATGACCTTCATACCTAGAGGAGTACATTACTTGTTGCTGAGATTGCGATGACTGAACCTCTAACTTTCTTTGCAGAA